GCGTCAACCAAAACCATAAAATATCTAAATGGTCCGCATGAAGGGTGAATCGGTCCAAAATGTCACCTTGAATCCGTTGTAAAAAAAAAAGGAGGATTCAAACAAAGGAGGATTTGAACGAATCTTGTCATAAGAAGGCTTAGTAATAAGTTTTCCCATATAACATGTTTGACATGCAATTCCTTGGATCGAACATAAACTTTGGGTTAGTGGATGCCCATGTGATGATTTCAGGATGTCCCAAGCGATCATGCCAAAGTATAATTTCATGCGCGATCCCAGAGGTAGGGCCCACATAGTGGCTCTCTATAGGGCGTATGGTCGTAGTATACAGACCACTCAAGATATGCTCTATCTTCTCTAGAATATGCTTCTAGTCATATTCGTAGGAAGTTATGCACAGAAATTGAACTTCGTTTTCTACATAGGTTTCAAAAAACAAATCACCAACAAATAATCCAAACATAAAGGAAAATTGTTCAAAATTAACCAAAAATACAAGGGGGGTTCGGCCACTATTGTGGAATTCAACCCCATTGTCTTATTTTCACTAAAAAAATAGTTTATGTCTAAGATTCTAATCTTTCATAAGGGTAACGGCCTCTTGAAAGTCAGAAACCTCTATCTTGGTACTCTCTAGTTTGTCCACTTGCACAAAGTTTGATTTAAACTTCTTACAACGGGAATGATATTTAGCTACAACCTTCTGGGGAGCTCGGCAAACACGAGACCAATGGTTCTTTGAAACACATCGATAACACATGTCTGCATCTATGGTTTCAAGTGCTTTGCCCTTATTTCTAAAGTTTGGGGTCTTAGGAGCGAGGTTTGGGGTTTTCTTGGCTTTGTTTCCTCCCTTAGATGGGCCTTGGCTCTATTGACCTTGACGGGGCGGCCATAAGCCGCCCTTATCACGCTTTTTTTGGCATTTTGGGTGTTGGTTCGTGCTATAATGCGCTTCAGGCATAGCAATCCCTGTAGGTCGAGCTTTGCTACGAGAATTATACGCACACAAATTAAACCCTCTTTTTATCAATTGTAGTAAGTATGTAAGTAGGGATCGTTCTAGACCGGGGATTAGGAGGGATTGTTAATCACTTGGATTTGACTCAAAAACGTAAAAACAAGTTTAAACCACTATACTAGACTCAAAGAATGCAAAACTCAAAATAAGAAAGATTATAATGACTAAACAAAATATGGGGGGGGGGGGATTGTGTTTGGACGAGATTAAATTGAATGGACAGATTATAAATAAAACAGATTGTAAGACAAATTGTGATAGAAAATATGGATGATGGAATAGCTAAGGGGTTTTTCTCCACACATGAAATATATGCAACGTCAATCACTTTCCAGTTATCAATTCATTAAGTTATGAACCTCGACACTCCAAGTTAATTAGGTCCGCTTAAATTAACCTTCATATTTCCCTAGAATCATTGAATTGGATGAATATGCATCGCAAACAAATTATTCCTAACAAGTTCTTTATATGAACAGCATGATAAAGATACAAGTTAGAATCATTACGTTCTTCGGAAGTCATAAGCGTCGACAAGGCATTTGTAACTATGAAAAGCATGATACTCTTGCTAGGAATCTACTTAACATGATCGTGACTAGCGACCTTCACTACTTGTGACTATAAATTCATAAAGATTAGGTGAAACAAACTTATATCCTAGCACCAAATTCAAGCATGTAAATTAAGCGTGCACTCTCAATCAACATACAAGAATAAGTTCTAAATCAAACGGTTAAGCAAATTGTATTCACGACTTATGCAACGATAACTGGAAGTAATCAACTTATTTCACATATATAATCATGGTTTCGAATCCACCCTTAGCCATGGGGGGTTTAGTTCCTCATACGTACAAAACAAAGATACATAAATTTAATCATTGAAATCGAGGAAAAGAAACACCTAAACATTCCAACAACTCAAACTTGAATTGTATGAACGTTTAGGCACTCTTCTCCTCCTCTTTGTTGTAGCACAAGGTCTAAGGATAGTGTTTTTGGAGGGATGGAAGTGTGGAATGGAGTGGGGAGTTATGGAAATGGATGGAGATGGAGGAGAAAATGGTGCAGAAGAGAACCCACGGCAAAGTGGAAGTGTTTGTGGAAGATGGTGTGTGTTTGTGTTGTGAATGGAGGTGTAGGAATTGAATGAAAGGTGAATGAATAATGAAATGGGGAAGCATGTGAGTGACAACTAGGTTGAATGATGATGAGTGCATGTGGTTGAATGAAAACATGTGAATGAATGAGAATGTGCTAGGGTGTTGAAAGGTTTTGCATGGCTTTGAAGTGATTGTGGATGTTGGAATTGGAAGGGAATGCATGGCCTTGGGGTTGGTTTAAGAGAGAATGGGCTAGGCCCTTTGTTGTATGTCCTAAAGTGCATACAAGGCCTTCAATTTCGTCCAACATTTTGGCTCCAAGCATAAGCCATCCATTCCAAGCCCAATTTTGCTCCAAAATGCTCCAAAATGCATCTTTTTGCTTCTTTAGCCATATGAACCTAAAAACACACGAAAATGGCTTAAACTACTAAAACAACTAGGAATTAACAATATAAATGCACGAAAACAAGCTAAGTAAGTCGCCTAAATATGCTCTTATCAAGCTTGATGATTTTTAATCAACAGCTGATTCTGCTTTACATTGAGAAGTAAAATAAAGATTAAATCCAAGAACTTAGTGAACTTCTGAGCTCTATATTGTTGTTGCAGGACAATATTAGTAGTAGAGAATGTCGAATATGCCTTCTCTAAGAGATCCTCTTCGGTCAATGTCATTACAAAACTTGAGAAATGATCGGATTAGACAAACTTCAGAATTATATTCATTCACAAATTCATGCAAGCGTAAATGCTGCCAATCATGTCTTGCTTTAGGCAAGAAGATGTCATTTTGGTGATCAAAACGATCAGCTAAAGTGACCCATAGTGCTCGTAGATCCTCCTCAACAAGGTACTCGATTTATATTGTGTCAAGAATATGTTTTCAAATGAAGATCATGGCAGTGGCTTTCTCAGCTTCGCCAACCGGTTTGTCACTCTCATCTTTCATGGCGAGATGCAAATTCTTTGCAGTGAGGAAGAGCTTCACATCTTGGACCCACTTGAGGTAATTCCATCCAGAGACCTCTAAAGCGGTGAAGTTGAGTTTGTTCAAATTCGACATGTTCCTATCATAAAATAGATGGACAAGATGTGGTTAGTGCAATGGAGAAAGATATCAATCGATTCACATAGGAGTAAAACACTTAAGTTCTAATAAACATGTATTGGTTAAAATTCGCATGAAAAAGCTTCGGGTTTCATAGGTGATGTTTTTAAGGAAAACTTCAAGTTTTAAAATAAGGCATGTTTTTAGAAACTTCAGGTTTTGAAATAATTATGAACTTCAAGTTCATATGTTCTTACAAACAAACGCAAATATATATATACAGTATGCAAATAGAACTTCAGGTCAATAATTATAATTGAATTAGTTATTTGGACTTTGGGCCAAATTTAAAATGTGGGTGAAAAATTATAAAACTCATTGGGCCTAAAAAAATATCAGGCAATCAAACTCGAGGCCGAAAAACATGGACCAAAGCCCATGGATGGGCTAATCAAATAGGTGACATGTGTCCCAGGCCCAAATATTAGGCTGGTTTGGTCTCGGGCCGAGCATGCATGCTAGCCCATGCATCACAAAGTAAGTGGGCTGCATGCGCAAGCCCAAAATAGGGTATCGTGAAGGGCACAGATCAGCTGTGATGCAGACACAAGAGCATGGATACTCCAGCGAAGCTGGGATCCGGTGTGGCACACACACATATACCAGCAGAAGTTGGGATCCTGTGTGACGCGGTGCATGGGAGAAGCGGCAGAAGCCCATATGGGCTCAACTGGTTCTTGAGCCAGGTTATCACCAAAGCGCAAAGAGTGTTGTGCGAATGGACAGAATCGAAATCGAGGCCTGTCAAGGCTTGGGTGGGATCTTTAGGCCACTCCAAAGGTGTTAGGTGTGGGGATCCATCGGAACTAGTCGACGGCGCAGCTTAAGCGGTGTTTCCATGGTTAGTGCAAGCCATGGTTCATCGAAGAACCAATTGTTGTCGATGGAGGTGTAATCTCAATGTCGGGGGAGAGGGAACCAAACGAATTCAATCGGATTCGAATAAAAAATCATGAAATTCTTCTAGAATTTCAAAAAATTGTTGGTAAAAAACGATGAGTTTCGTCCAAATTACATGACTGCCAGTCGTGTTTCATCGGAAAAATCGACGGGGATGACCTAGCTTCAGGCCGAGGGTCGGGACGATGGTGCCTCAAACGCACCATTTCAGTTTTGCGCTTGTAGCCTAGGTTTGGATGCTGGGCTGGGCTCACAAGGTTGACGCAGGTTGTTGGCCCGGTGCTGGCAGCTTGCACGGTTCAAGTCATAGGTTCGAAGAACCCTAGCAGTTTGCAATTTTTTTTTTTTTTTTCAATTCAATTCAATGCATATTTATATATTATTCAATGCATATACATATATTCGATGCAATTGATGGCAATATCAAATTCACATAATTCAATAATTATGAATATAATGCATACACAATTGATGTAGAATCTAAAATTCCAAAAACGTAAAGTTAGGGTTGCAGAAATTAGATATTTATTTATCTATTTTTTCTATCACGTAAAAAGAAAAAAAAATTGAAAGATATCTTACCAAAAAGAAAAGGAAGGTACATATATAACAAAAATTCAGCCTTCATTAACAATCATCCACAAAACGAAAGTGTGGACGAAAAAAAATTACAAATTGGATAAAAAAATTCCCATGGTTATAAGGTAATCAGATAACTTCTGTGATAAAAGTAGGGATTTAAATCCTTGTTGTAGATTCTGTTAGCATTGAGCTCAAAATTAAATTTTCATCAACTATCCCTCATATAAAACACTAATTTATCCATTTCAACGGTTTAACCTATTTAATTATCACGAGATCAATTTCTGAATATCTTATTATCACGATAACTATTTATTCGATTAAGCCTAAAAAATTAAATCCAACACTTTACACTTGGGAAATCTCTAATTACTCTCTAAACAATGCAATTATTAACCAGACATTAATCATAAACCACTTAACAATAATTTATAGGCATAGAGTCCATTGTAGTGTCAAGATCACTTAGCCACTGATCAACAACAGCTAGCTGGCTCATCTCAACCATCTCTAACCGGCTAGTGCTACCCGACTTGGCTTCAGCACCCGAGCCAACTCCACTGTTCCTCCTTTTCAGCTTCGGCGACCCACTATCCGACGAAGAAGAAGAAGATGAAACCTCCGGGGCTCGACGCTTCGCTGTTACCCGAACCGGCTCACATCCCGAGCCAATTAGGTGAGGGAAATTGAGCTTGGCTTTGGAGCCGCGCATTTTAAAAGCGGCTTGGTCGTAAGCCAAAGCCGCACCCTCTGCCGTCTCATAAGTTCCAAGCCACACTCTAGCCCCATTCTTCTTGGGATCCCTAATCTCCGCCGCGTACTTCCCCCATGGCCTCCGCCTCACTCCCCGGAAGTGCTGCCCCGTCAATGGTGTGCGGGTCTCGCGCGCCACCGCTATCTCTTCTCTGACAACCTCCTGAGGCTCAGATTTTGCGGGTGTGGTCTCAATAACATCAACGTGATGGTGATCTGATAACATACTCCACCCGGCCGTGCCATCAGACAGAGCACCAACAACGTCATTAGTGTCTTCCAGCTCCACTTTAAATGGCATGTCGCTCCAACTTTTTGTCAAGAAAAGGTTGCTGAAGCTTAAACTCCGGCAGTACATCGGCGGAGGACTGCCTGAAGCTGTTGCTGATGATTCTTGCAAATTAGTATCAAAATTGTCGTCGAGAAGGTGTTGCCGAATCGACTCCAAAAGAGCAAAGTCAGCCTCCAAGTAAATATCTTCAAACATTTTCACTTGTTAGGGTTTTGGAATTGGTTTTGAATAGGGTTTTGGATGTTGAAGGATGTAGTAGTCGTACTGCAATAGTAGTTGTTGTGGGTTAAGCCTTGTGTTGTGTGTATTTATATGTGGGCAAGGAGAGCATGCTTATATCTGTAACTTTTTAATTTACCATTACTGTTATCATTTCCATGAAACTTCGTTATTGATTAATCAGGGTTTTTCGCCACCTGCATTATATGTTACAAATATTTGTTTACTAAATAAATAAGTTACTAATTTCGTGGGATGAACTAATTAATTCATCTATTTGTCAGTGACTCATCTCATCTACTTTTTATATATTTTAAGAAAACAGTGATTGCAACACGCTAAATTGCTGCATGACCATGGCACAGTACAGGTCATATCCTTGGCCTTGGCCTGAATTATTCTCTCTATGTGTTGGTTGGTGCCTTGATGGTAGCGACTAGCATGCATCCACGTAAGAGTTCAAATTCCATCTCTTTTATATAGGATCGTTAGGGAAAGGATCCCCATTTTCTTCAAACCAAAAATCATGAGAATAAATTATTCGTCAATTTCTTTGAACTTAATTAGATGCCTCAAATATTTTTACTTTGGCTAATATTTTGCAAAGATGACCTATGCAGTGCAACTTGATAAAAAGACAATTTAGATCGTTAAAGTTTGATATGGCGTGAGCTTTACAACTAATGCCCATTTTTATAAAAAAATGAAAATCATTTCCCTTAAAAACTTCTCTTTTATATATATATATATATATATATAGAGAGAGAGAGAGAGAGAGAGAGAGAGATTACCCCAGATAATGCACTCAATATAAAGTAAATAATTGCAAAAATATATATAAATGTAAATAAAAAAGAAAAAAAAAAGGATTTATAATTTTCTAATAACAATTGGGTGACTTTGATCTATTGGGTTCTCCAAATGGAATAATATTCATCATCATTTGTGTTTTTTCCTAGCTAAACAACAAAACTATCGCTTTGTTAATTATGAATTGGAGAAATGCCAACAGGATCCTCTCCGGATCTTTTTGGCGAGAATCCTGGAGATTAATGAATCGTGTTCATTCATATACATCGGGTGGTCAGTTTTTTTCACGTACTGGTTGTATTTAATTTTAAATAAAAATATTTAAAATTATTTCTGATCACACGATATACGATAAATGAATACGATTCACAAATTCGTTAATCCTGACAAAGAGGATCTAGTGACGATCATTCGGAGAAATAAACCACCAAAACAACAACCTAGCTAATTATTTTGTTAGGTATAATAGGCACTAATTATTAATTTCTCAAACTTCGAAAAATAAAATAAAAAAAGCCCTGCACTTACGAGTTACAAGATGATAGTTTTAATTTTAAATCTAGAAATACTTCTTGGTGTATATGTAAAATACAGAGAACTTTATGATCCTTTTTCGTGAGGGATGGAGTGTTTCAGAGATTTGCCGCGTCTCTCGTACACGGAGCACAAAAAGTAGGAAAAGTAAAAGAAACTTATAAAGTAATGCACCACGACTATCACATGGTATGTACTTAAAAAAAATGTAACTCTCTTAATATTGCAAATGTACTAAAATAATGTCTATTATGTTGGAAACTTTCGAAAGATAAGATAAGAATTTTTTTGTTTTTTTTTGGTGAACAGAATTCTTGCTTTTTAATGCAAATCCTCGGGCCATTCGAGCATAAGACTTCAAGTGGAGAGATAAATCTTTTTACTTAAGCAGCACAACGTCTGCAGAAAAGGAATATGTTGAAAATTGTACATATATACTACAAAAATTTAAAGATAGATATGCAGCAGCCTATTATATCTAAGGAAAATATCCAAACATGTCCAAGGCAGTCTCTTTCTTTTTTATGAAAGCGATCGAATCTTTTTGATTGATTAAGAAAAAAACTTGTAAACAAAGTTGTTGCAGGAAGTTGGAGGACAGGCCAACTCCACTAATTCCTCTTGCAATTATACCAATCTGAACTAAAAAAAATCCACATTACTGAAAGGAAAGGATTCATTTCCAAATCTCTTCCACAAAATTCATCAAATCCACCAATCTGAATACTTGAAATTTGATCCAACGGTTAAAGTTATTATAACTTTTAAATGAGATTCCTATTTTTAGCCGTTGGATCAAATTTCAAGAGCATGAATTAGTAGATTTGGTGGAAGGGATCTGGAGAGGATCCCTTTCCTTACTGAAACTATCAAGATTCAGTAAATCAGTTAAAATTTTTCAATAAAAACTGGCAAAGATTCTTTTGGGCACACCCCCAAATTCTCTCATGTGCTATTTCATAATCGGAACCATTCAATCTATTAATCTTCATCCAAATATATCATTCTTACAAAAAATCATTTGAATTAGTGATCGTTTAATCATTCAAATATATCAAATAAATCAACATGCCAAGTGATATATTCCTGAAGAACCATTAATTTATTTGACTTGCTTCCAACCATGGAAGTTCACGTAACCCTTTTGTTGTACCCAGAATTTTAGCTTCATCACTAGACAAAGCTACCACCTTTTAAAATATCCTTACTTAAACCTTTTATCAGCAATATTTTTGCCCAATCTGCATCAGTATATTTATTAAAAATTCTAATAATCACTCTTGAAAAACATGATCCATTTGCCTGGAGCATGTTAAACTAGTTCACGACACTTATTGCTCAGTGTTAGGTTAATTTAGTGTATGATAGATAAATCTTAATGTATGATAGATAAATCAATCTTCCAACTAACCTTTGATAATGATTTTTATTCGCTGGAACATATTTGGATATGCTTCAGGGTGATGATTCTGATAATTGGTGTATGGACTGTCATATAGACTAGTAGGCCGGTTTTCACAAACAAGTCTAAAACGTGAATTTTTTGTGAGAGAAATATGCCTTGATTTAAACGAGCAACTTAAAATGTCATGAAATGTTAGAGAGAACACATCGAACTATTGGAATTAGTTTAATAGTCTGGATCAGTATTTTTTAATCCTCTTCAATATTAAAAATCAAGTTGTTAAAGCCAAGAAACAAAATTGTCAAATGTTGTTAAATCTTTCGAAGCAACATCAAACTTGAACGATACATCATATCCCGATAGATCTCTTTTCCGATTCTCCTTAATTATCATATTGTAAAAAGCACATGCAACCAGTACTTAATTAACCAATTTACTTGGAGAAGAACATCACAAGAAGACAAAATTAATTCATATATTAAGTACATCATGCAAAATGCAAAATGTCAAAAAAAAAAAAAATAAAAAAAATAAAAAAATAAAATAAAAAAACAAATTTGCCAGGCGTCTGGTAAATACTTACCACATGTAAATCAGTATTGTCTGTATAAACATGCCAATTGATATATCATTTGTCATCATATAATATATAATATATGAATGAATCGTAATTAAAAATAGGGTGTTTTTATTCACACACCTCTTTTTACAATATTTCACATTTTTTGTCAAGTCATTTGATTTTCTTTAATTCTTTTAATTCGATAGTTAAAAATTGATAACCTGCTTGATTGTACGCATATTATGAAATATTATTTCAAAGCATGCAGTCTATATTTTTCTTTTAAAAAAAGGTATTACTAGTGTAACATCCCACATCGTCCAAGGGAGTGATCATTAAATGTATATTCTTATCCCTACCTAATAAGAGGCCTTTTGGGAACTCACGAGCAACTTCCCAATGGGTCACCCATCATGGGATTGCTCTAGCCCTCTTCTCGCTTAACTTCGGAGTTCCTACGGAACCCAAAGCTAGTGAGCTCCCAAAAGGCCTCATACTAGGTAGGGATGGGAACATATATTTAAGGATCACTCTTCAAGACGATATGGGATGTTACAACTAGACGCGTACAAAATGAAAAGAAAAAACAATGATTAATTATTTTATTACTCAAATACAATATAAGAATTTATATGTATAAAGAAATAATCAATATAGATATTTATGCCACGTTATATAATTTAAAATGTAATCTGCCCAATGCGCGTTTTCTTTTAAATGAAGGTTGGTATTTGATACTGTACTTTTTTTAGCAGTACGAATTGATCCCATCAAACGAGATTCAACTTAAGTCTACAATACTTAAGTCAAATTAAGATTTAAATGTTAAAAGATTAGCGAATTATTAACCATGCACATGCCAGGCAATGAGTTAAGAAAAGTAAGAGGACATTATATAAGTTTCTATGATTAGCCGATATGAGCATAGCTTAACAACATAGGTAGTTTAATTTCAAACTTCCAATTGTTTTATTCAACGACTTAGAAATATTATTTCTAATCAAAGCAAGTGGCCTTTTACCATAATGGTATAAAGATGTTGAGCCCTTACATAAACCTTAGCAATAGCTAATCTAACAAAATCTATTGTTTGACGGAAAAAAAAAAGAAAAAAGAAAAAGAAGTATTAGTCAATTGCTCTTGTAAATTCGCAATTCTTCCTTTGGATAGAGAGATGCTCTCGTTGTTACAATTAATATTGGCATAATGTGATCGTATAAAGCTTAACTAAAGTTAAGTAGGAATTATTCGGAATATAGAAGGTATTTTCTATTAGACTTTGATTATTTGGATAGCAAGTTATTCTTTACCTCTTATTACTATAAAGGGTAATGTTAGTGCAACTAAATTTGTAGAAAAAATTTTGTAAACTAAATGATATGTAAGTTGATAATTGGATTATTACTTAAGCGTTAATCATAAATGTCCTCATTCCTATTGGTGACACATTATTTTGTTGGCAAATTTTGTCTACTAATTTAGTCTTCCTACCATTACTCTACTATAAATAAAGCACCAGGCATGACAAATATCGTCAAATAATTCCTCAAGCCACTTTTCTCTCTTTCTTCTCTATGTCAATTTCTCTCCCTCAATTTTAGGTCACAATAGTTTATCAGCATGTTCTTGCGCTACGCTAAAGAGAATTTGATCAACTTCAATTAGTGGAGTATTATTTTTATATTAATCATATTATGATTAATTTCTTATTTTATTTAAGGGACACTTTGAATGTGGTTCCTAACTATCAATATTCTTTGACTGAAACCTTGTTGGTTTTTAATTTTTGATTGAAGTCCTTGAAATTAATGTGATAACGTATTTTTTTATGTGGGTTACTATATTTTTTAAATTAAAAATTAAAATTTATAGTT